ATCGACCGGGCAATGCCAGTTGGCGACTCCTCGGGGGGAGGTCTTTCTCTGTAGCTGCTCCGGCCCCGTGGAATGATCTCCCCACAGAGATCCGGACCCTTCCCACTCTCTCGGCCTTCCGTAAGGCCACTAAAACCTGGCTGTTCCAGCAGGCCTGGGGCTGTTGACCCCAAAATATGGTCCAGCCCCACTTGGAATGGAGTGCATAGTGTGTTTTTTTTAATCTATCTTTTTTTCCCTCTTATTCCCTTTTGATTTATTTGTATTGTTAGCCGCCTGGAGTCCTACGGGATTGGGCGGCATACAAATGCTATTAAACTTTGAAACTTTGAACTTTGTTTAAATCTGGCCTGTGGGGCCACCCTAGAAACAGCAAAGGACCAGCTCGCAATGCCTCTGCCAGCAAAATTGGAGCTCAGGCGGGCCCAGGCTCCATTTTCAGCTGTGACAGCCTCCTGCCACCCCCTGCCAGTGAAAACAGAGCTTGGGGAGGCCACCCCCCCCTCCAGCTGAGCTCCATTTTCACTGGCAGAGGGTGGCAGGAGGCTGTCGCAGCTGAAAATGGAGCTCTGGAACCCGTTTTCACTGGCAGAGCGCTCGGGCCACCACAGACACCCCCAACATAAGTGACACCAAACTGGCCATGCCCATCCAAGCCCCCAAGTTCAAATAAAACCCTAATGCAGCCCTCAGTGAAATTGAGTTTGACACCCCTGCCCTAATTACAATTTAATGTTGTCAATTTCTTTATCCCTTTTCTTTATATTGTGGCATTACTGGATTTTGTTTTGTTGTTGTTTTTGTTTTTTGCATTGGGTATGTTTTATATTGTATATTTTTTCTGTGTAAGATGACATGCTTATGAAAAAAAGCACTTTAAGGAACTCTGGTTTAGAAAATACTTTTGATATTTTTTTACTTTGGTTTTTTTTATTCTGGCTGTATACAGATGTAGCCAGAATAACACATATATTCTCTGTGTGTTTGTGTATACAGTGTGTGTGTGGGGGAGAGAGAGAGAGAGAGAGTAAATCTGCAAACAATTTACTCTATAAGAGTAAAAACATTGATTTTCATAAAAGATTAGGAAAAATTATATGAAATGTTGTATTCTAATTCAAATGGATCCAAAGAAATTGGGGCAAGGCTGTGGAATAGCAACAGTATGTTTTTAATGTATTTTTCCCATTATGTTTGAACTTATCTATTGACAAATGACTAAAATGGTAGTATAAATGATTAAAAATTATAGTTTTTAAACAAAAATATCTATTAAACAGCAATGAATTATTATGAATATGTATTTTCAGAGATTCCTCATGATATATTCCTTTAAAGTTTTAATTTCTTATGTTTTTCAGACAGTTGAGGAGATTGAAGGTGTGCTTGGCCGAGATTTGTACCCAAACTTGGCTGAAGAAAGGTCACGATGGGAGAAGGAACTAGCAGGTTTGAGGGAAGAGAATGAAAGCTTAACGGCTATGCTGTGCAGCAAGGAAGAAGAATTAAACAGAACTAAGGCCACCATGAATGCTATCCGCGAAGAACGAGACAGATTACGCAGAAGGGTGAGGTTTCTTGACTGACATCTAATTTTGTGAGAAAAATAAACTTTCTACAATAAAGAGCTGTTTCATCTCTCTCTCAACTTTATCTTCTCTGTCATAAATTGGAGGGGATTAATAATTTGGCTGATTCTTCTTTCCCCTAGTGTTGCTAGAATTGCCAGTAAAAGACAATTACATAAAGTAATCCCAACCTGTCCGAATGGAGTATTCTTAGTACTGCCATATTGGTTTTCACCTCAAATCTAAGAAATATATAGGAAGGTACTTTCTATCTTCCTTCCCCAAATCCAAAAATGCAGAATTTAGCAAAATCTTGTGAGTCTCCTAGAAACAAAATGAATGTGCAGTCCAGTGGCTGGGAAACTTTTAATCAGAAATTCCATTTTTAAATAGATGAAGCCAAAACACTCTACATAAAGAAGACAACAGGAAGGCAACATAGTATTCCAGATAAAAATAATTAAGAGTATCAAACTAAATGGTACGTATTATGATTTGAAAAAAGATAGTGGCTTTCCGAACATGTTCAGAGTTAATTGTAGAGAGGATGGCTTGAAACAGAACATCTGATTTGCCTTAGGGTCTTTCAGTTTAATAGAATATAGAGAATAACAAAACACAGCATCTTTTAGGAGACTGGTGCTTTCCTCAATTAAACGAACAGTTCTGCCTTTAATGATCTAGTCAACAAATTTAAAAAAAAATCTGCCAGCTGAAGTTATAGTCCTAGCAATTTGGTGCTGCTGCCTAGTTTTCCACAGTTACACCATTGTATATAAAGGATTACATGGAAGAGACTTCTGAAAATGCAGAAGATTAATTCTGTCTTCCTAGTGTTAGGGTAGGACTGACTCAGACTTCATTGATATTTTGAAGAATGTACCTTCAGTCATATGTGGGGCAGTGACTTTTTGGTAGCAGGATGTTTAATATGTGTGGTGCATATTGAATGCATTGAACATTTTTATACAAATATATATAGCTATATATTTACTTCTCACTGAAGCTTCATTTTTCACATTGGATATAGGAATTAACATCAGAATATTTTCATAATTTTCCTTCTCATCTGAGGCACTAAAAATAGTAATTTCTGAATGCATTTCTTATTCTTTCCTTATTCTCTCATTTGTTATTTTTACGGATCTTGCTATTCTCCTATAGAAATAATCTCACTATCAAAACTTCTACTCAGCACAATTTAATGCGCCCCAGAAACATATTGCATATCTAATCAAGTGTATGGTATAATTAGAGCAGTAGAGCAGAAACCTTTTAAAAGTGCATAGATCAGGAGTATGCAATTGTTTGAAAGTTGTTGTCTTGTCATTGTACTAAAACAGCAATTCCAAGCTGAAGGGACCCAATCAGTCCATCACACAAAAAAAGCAGAAACTTGAGTTAGACTTTGCATCTTTTTTTAAATTACAAACAAGTTAAAGATAAGGTATGAAGCTGGACTTTCCTTTGTTCCCATTTTAGAAAAAGGGTATATTTACTATAGCTGTCAGCTTTCTCTACCACCTGATATTGAAGGCTTTTTAAAATAGCTCCCCTTGCCTTCATATCTTCCAGATCTATTAGTCTAACATAACTACAGAATGTTAAATTGTAGAAAATAGACTTAAAGTACTGGATGGCCTCAATTTTTCCTGGTCACTTTATTCCATTCTCCAGCTTTCAAATGTTGTTCATCTATTAGTTCATCTTAGCAGTCAAATATTGTTTTTGGCTAAAAAAAATGCTCCATTGTAAAATTCATTTTTATCTCTTCTGGTTTTGTTACAATCTACCTTGTGAGGAATTTTATCATTGAAAAGTAGATTATGGGGTTGTAGGTTTTTTTAGTTTAAACAAAAACAGTTCAGTGATAATGGAATGCATTTTATTTATCATACAGAAGAATTCTATTCAGATCTGTACTTCTACTATTCAAGGACCTTAGATTATCCTTAAGATCCAGCCTAATGCTGATTTTTATATCAGTAGACATGATGTACAATACATGAACTTAGTTTATCCAGAAAAGGAAAGCTTGGCAGCCTATCTGGTTTTATCTAGATGTGAAGCAATCAAAAAATGTTTTGTGCCAATAGTTGAAACAGTTAGATTTAATTGCAAGACTGGAAAGTATGCATTCTTTTCTGAGATTCGGCATTTAAGCCCTCTCCCCACTTTACAAATTCCTTTCTTTCCCAGTAACTTGTTAGGGTTGCTTTGTTTGTCCTGAGCTGCAACAGCTGGTCTTAATAGGGTAAATTGTTTCCCTTCTATTTACGAATGAAATTCAGTTGTATTTTTAACCATGAGTTTAGTAAATAACGTAGCTGTCAGAAAGCAATAGAAGAAATGACCAGATTGAAATGAAAAAGAAACTAACCTTAGTTTTGAACTATGACATATTTTTAAATAAAAGGACTTAAGTTTAAATAATTCAGGCTCTGCTTTATATATAGAAGCCACACACCTCTACGTATTAATGATTCACCTGTGGAAGTGGTTAGCAGCATCAAGTTTCTTGGTGTGCAGCTAAGGAATATGCTAGCTTGGTCGCTCAGCAGTGAGGCACTGGTGAAGCGGACACAGTGGCACCTGTATTTTCTGCATCGCATGAGAAAAGTTCATCTTCTTTCCTCTCTCCTAACCATTGTCTATAGAGGGACGATCAAGAGCATCCTATCATATTGCATTACTGCTTCGGACAGGAAGACAGTGCAGAGAGTCGTGAGGGTGGCAGAAAAGATCATTGGTAGTTCACTTCCTTCTATCCAGGACATAGCATATAAGCGATGCTTGACCATAATCCACAGGATTGTCTGGTACACTACACATCCTCTTGATGACCTGTTTTCCTTGTTACCTTCTGGGAGAAGGCTTCATAGTATCCAAAGCAGAATATCTAGATTCAGTCACAGTTTTGTTCCATATAGCATCAACCTTGTGAACTCTCAAATTTCCTCTTTCTGCTACATATTAAAAATGGACAGTGGTGTGTGTGTGTGTGTGTGTAATGTGCATATATTTATGTACGTATATAGCATGTGTATATGTGTGTTGTATATGTGTTTGGGTAGATATGCAACAGAATTTCATTCTAAATGTGGGCCAGTGTGCTTACAGTAAAAAAAAAATGAAAATAAAAGTTATCTTATTTGAATTGGAGGGATCGAGTAAAGAAGCTTTGCAATTATTTCTCTGATTCTGTATATATGTGTACGTGCATGTCTATGTACAAATACACATGGACATATACAACTTTTGGTACAAATGTTTAGTGGACTGTGGAGAAATGCCAATCCCTGGTGAAAAGACTATAGGACAACCGGCACCAGGATACCCTTCTATCATGCTGGTCCTAGTGTGATGGCACTTCCTTGAAGTTTACCAAACAAATGATCAACAAGATGCTGAGGAGCATTTCAATAGTTGGGGAAATGATTGGTAGGAGCATAGGAAAAAGAAATTCCAGGGAGAGGTATTTATACCGGTCCTAATGGAACCTGCCAAGATCTGAATGTAGTCCATGGTACAATGTACTCTATAAGGTTCTATCCCTGGTCTGTCTAATGAAGTTGTCCCACTTTCTATAATGACTACCGATAAACAACTTTCCCTCCCAAACTGATACTAAATAACATGAATAGAGAAGTTCCATGTACTTCTTCTGTTTGACAGAGACTCCATGAATGAATCTAAATCCATTTGAACCTTGGTCCTTATCACATTTTATGGGAATTAAATATATAAAATAACATTTTGATCCCCATGCTTTTGTTCAGAATAGATCTAGCACTGCAATTATTGATCTCTGTCCCTGAAAGAAATAGTTTTACTTAGTATAAAAGCAAAAGTAATATGGGTTGGGTTTTTTTGCTATTGTTAACCTGTAAATTTTGTTCTATAACATAGAAATTGAAACATAGGCTTTTATTCTTCATTTCTTCCTTCTTTCTTATTGAAAATTAGGGAAGCCTTGTACTCTAAACTAATGCTAATTTGCTTAACTGTAAGTTTATTTCTCTCTGGAGGAATCTGTCTGTAACAAATGTCCATGTCAGGCACATGATGTAATGGTGTGCACCAGGGATCTTATTTGCATTTGTAATACAGACTATAGCTGCCACACAAATTAATGTTTTCTGTGACCTGTTAAATATTTTATATATGCAACTCTAACCAAACGGGACTTTATATTACTTCCCTAGGGGATGAGAAAGAAACCCTTACTTAAATTTAGTTTTTCTTCTATACACATTAAATTGGGTACATAAAAGAAGTTGAAGCTTAAGAAATCAATAGCTGTTATTTTAGTTCAATATCTGTAATCAAACAAAGTGTTCTCAATTGGGTTTGGGAGGCTTGTTAGAGGGTTAATTAATTCAGATATTTAATGTATTCAGTTAACAGTTTGTTCTATTTTTGAGTATAACTAAGAAATGACATGTATCTCTTGAAGGTCATTAGCAAATGAGGTAATTACTTAATTTTTTATGGTGCACATAATGTAGCTTTTCTTTTTTGCAGGATAACCATATTAAAAGGAGCAGTAAAAGTTGTACTGAACTGTGCATATTGCTTAATAATTCTGTTTATAAATTGATTTATATTAATATGTAATATTGCATTATACAATAATGCTATGCAAAATATTTCCAAATTCATTATATATATAGTGTACAACCCAAATATTTATCAGCACAAATGCAACATTTTTACACGGGAAAAGACCCAAATACAACAAGACCAGCATGTATGTATGTATGTATCTATGTACTCTGTGTGTGTGTGTGTGTGTGTGTGTGTGTGTTATATTTAAAAATATGTATCTATTGGTTAAATAAAAAAATCAAGCTAATGTTGTATACCTACGTGGTTCCTATTCATCTCTATAAGCTCATGGAAATAAGTGAGCAATTTCTAAACAGATCTGCCCTTGCTTTGATCTGCAGTACTGCATGTATATTTGTAAACACACTGTATCTTCAGTTTAAAATAAACTTGGATAAATAAACATGTTGAACATCTGTTTTAGATCAAAGGTACAAATCATTCATATCTATGTTACTAGTAAACATATTGGAGATAAAATCATCTATTTTATTTTTGAAAAAATATGAAAGCCTGGAAAACTGGAAAATTAAATAATCAGGAAAGTAAACCGAATATGCCAGCTCTTTCCTCATCTGGGAAACTAGAAACAATGTTTAGCAATTCGCTAATGTGTTACGTATCTCTATGTTACTTAACTTTATGATCCTGAAGTATTAGCAATCGTACATTAATTGATTTTTTTTATTATTGCTGTCATGACCAATAGATTTTTTTCTTTGTATTAAGTTAACCGCCACTTGTTCTTCAATACATATCAAATGATATTCTATGTTGGCACATGGTTATTTACCATGTACCTTATACCCCTAAATGGTGTCAAGCCACAGGAGATTATATGCCCCCTTTTCTTAATTATTAACATTTGATGGTAAGAGTATTCAGTTATTACTTTGAGTCAGGGGAGATATATAACATTGATTATGGAGCCATATGTTAGAACAATATGACATGTTGATGAGGTATGGCGGCAAACAAATATTTCTGCAAGGTTTCCAGGATATAAACAGTTTATTTCCTGAAAATCACTTCAGACAAAATCTCAATAATATTGGATGGATAATAGAAATATCTGGCCCAGTCAATTAACAATGAAATGATCTTCCTTTTATGTATAGACATCATATTTATGTTTGATTTCATAACATTAAAATTTAAAGTCCTTTGTCACTGGTTTCATTGATGCAGTTGAAATATAAAGATAAACCATTTCTGCTTTAAAATATGTCTTGCTTTCAGATAGTTTGGCATTGTTCATGAGGCTTCTTTCAGTAGTTGAGCTAATAAAGTTTTAATAATGGTAATAACCATTTTAACCACAATTTCCTATTGTGGTTAAAATGGTTATTACCCCTTTTTTCCCAGTGAAGTGCAGTTTAAAAAGTGTCATGTTTCCAAAAAAAATCAAATGTGATACCCGGAATCTAACCTTCCATGATATCTTCTACCTATTTAATTTAATTTTCCTTTTCTGGCCATTATGCCAAGGATAATACCAAAATAAAGCCTCCATTTATGTTTTCCCCCCCTAATAATGCCTCTGAGGTGTGGCAATATGGTGAATAAAACCAAAAATTATGTTTAGAGTGGGCACTTCGTGCTACGTGCCACTTCCCAATTAATTTGGTCAGTTTTTCAGAAAATCTTCAAAAAGTATCATTTCATTAAGGCTATTTTCCTAACTATCTTTAATAATAATAAAGTGATCTCTTTTCTGCAGTTACCCTTTTGTCTGAAAATATTTTTTCTTATCAGATTCTTTTTAAGATTTGAAATACAAATCTTAATTCACAATTATAACTCACATTCCTTTCTGAACTTTTTTTTTACTCAACACAAATTTCTGAAGTCTTACTGCAGAATGCAGATGTCTTAAGATCAGAATTTTTACATTACTCTGCAACTACTTTGAATGATTCAGAACTTGCAAAAGCAAAGCATCTCTCTGTCTTTTAATAAAGCTTTTTAAAAAAAATTCTGAATGAGCCTGAAAAAAGATGTGTCTGCTTTAATAAACTGCAGAGTGGTATTATGGAATGCCCTTCTTTGAAGATGGTCCTAACCTTCCACTCCTTTCACATTTAGGAAAGATATTAAGACCATATTCAACCAAGTCTTTTGAGGTAGACCCTGGATTTTGTTTTCCTTTTACTCTGAGCTACCTTGACTGCTCAATAGTTAAAAACACATGTTTAGTTTGAAATAGTCAGTACTATTTCAACTCTACCCCGAATTAAAAGAATTAAGGGATTATAGGGTCGTAGAAAGGGAGACAGTATAATATAGATCCTAAGATAAGAATCCTCTAAAGCTGATTTTTCAAAACCTGAGCCATTTGTCTTGATAATAAATTATCTGAAAATATTTGGATGTTTTCTCAACTTTATAATCTAGTAACCAAGAAAAAAACATGATGCAAGCTTGTTTCTTTCAGCCCATTATTAATCTTTCCTTTTCCTACCTCAAATATTGGAATCCTGACTTCTTTAGCCAGAAGTCAGAAATAGTATTTTAACAGGATCTTTTCTGCAAACTTAGTTAACACAATGATTAAAATCTATTTTATGTGAAAGGAACTAGGAAAGAGCACAACAGGTTAATGTCTTGTTTCCAGATTCATAAATCATATTCCATGAAAGATGATGACAACACCTCATAAAGGATACCAATTACTTTGGTATCTGTCCTAGTAACTAACATTAAATCATATATTAAACTTTGTTTAATCTTTCCTGATTAAGCTTTGTTAGTTTAGGTCTGACCTTTCCAGAACAAACTTAACTTTTCAAGAATTGCTTTTTAGAGAATCATCTGTATCTATAGTTTGTTCTATCTAAAAGTTTTCTAAGATAGTTATCCATGCCATACACCTTTTATGTTTTTTTCCAGAAATCTATTGATTGCATCTTCAATATATGCTTTCTCTACAACAGAAAATGTTTTAAATATATGATTATGTTAGGTAAAATGTTATAAAAATAAGTATCCCTTTGTGATATCAAGACTCAAGGAAAAGCTTTTGAATAAAAAATATTAAAGGTTTGTTATTGTCAATTATCCCAACTTGAAGCAGAACTGGGTTTCTCTTACATTACCAAAACAAGTTAAAGAAAACAGAGTAATAGTATTGACTTACATAATTATATTTTTGTAGGTCAGAGAACTACAGACTCGATTACAGAGTGTCCAGGCAACAGGGCCATCAAGTCCAGGTCGCCTCACTTCTGCAAACCGTCCCATTAATCCTAGTACTGGAGAATTAAGCACCAGCAGCAGTAGTAATGACATCCCCATTGCTAAGGTGAGTCCTAGGACATAACTTCTTATTTTTGCTGTTCTGTTGTATTACTATTCTATAACGGTCCTGAACCAGCAGGAGAGATAACTTTGTAAGAAATTTCAGCCTTGTTTGGTCATAATACACATTCTTTTTTATATATGCATTTTAAGATTGAGTACCTGAATGAAATGGAGAACCTTAGAAGATACTGTAAAAACTCATTTTTGTGATTGGTTCCCTATCCTACCTTGACTGTTTCTAGATTGCAGAGAGAGTGAAGCTTTCAAAGACAAGATCAGAATCTTCAGCATCTGACCGTCCTGTCCTGGGATCAGAAATCAGCAGCATAGGAGTAAGTATAATATTCACACAAAGTGCATATTCAGCAACTTAGTTGACAGCCATGAAATTAAGATTGTATGAAAGTCACAGAAATAAAAGCAGCCCTCATCTTAAACCAAGCAAGTTCCCCTGGGCTTTAAATTTTATAATTTAAGGGTTCATGTTCTTGGTACTTCTCCTCTGAAGCATGAAAGCTACATTTCTTTTATCCTTCAGGATAAAGATATAAAGTGTACAAAAGCATACATTTGGATTCTGCAGTAAATATCTATAGTCAGGGTTGCAATTTCTGCAGCTGTTTTTAGACAGGGTAAACATTCAAATGGAGCACCTTTAAAATACATACTCAGGGGTTATGCTTTTTATGTGGCTCTGTTAAAAGTTATATGACCAATAGTAGAGAAAATTCAGACAATAAATCCCTATATGAACCGAGTTTGGAATCCTTATCATTCCTCTCCCCATCAACATTTTCTTTTCTTTGTATGTTGATAAGAATATTTTGAAAATAATTCTTAAAAATGTTCAGTTTCCCTAGACACAGTTGAATAGAGTTGACAAAATTAGTATACAAGTTTCATGTAATGGCCTTATAATTTCTTAAGAGGTGATAGAATTATTAGGAATGTACTTAATTATATAACTAGAGGAGCATGAGAAATAGCTATTTCTTATGAGGTTGTTTTTTCAGGCACTTTGTACTTTTCCTACTTGGCCATTCATTCTAGAAGTTGCAGGCTAAGCCAGCCATGATGTGAACATCTAAAGCAGAAGTTTTGTTAACTTGTTTTGTTCATTGCTTTTAGCATGAAGGCAAAAATGAAAAATATAATTTCTAGGGAAACTCTACTGTGGTTCTCTTTCTTCCCCACCCCATTCCTTTGTTATTCCAACATATTTAAATCTGAGTTGAGCATATTTGAGTTGTATCTCCAGAAGATACAATTATTTTAATGACTATTTCTGTTACTTATAGAACAAGGTGCAAAACAATATCCAAATAATAATATCTAATTAATATTCATAATAGTTTTTTCAAAACCTGTGTACAGGTATCCAGTAGTGTGGCAGAACATTTGGCACATTCTCTTCAAGACTGTTCCAATATTCAAGAGATTTTCCAAACACTCTACTCACATGGATCTGCTATCTCTGAAAGCAAAATTAGAGAATTTGAAGTAGAAACAGAACGGTTGAACAGGTAAGATGGCATTCTTATGTGCAGAGCCACTTTGCAACAGAATAGATTCCCCATTTTAACTTTAATCCGAAGTTGGCGCTGATGAAAATAGGCCTTCTCCATTTTGAGGCCAAATTACAGAACATTTTTCTGAGTTTTATCTGGCATCTACATCTTTTCTTTTCAAAATTAAGAAATGATAACTTAGGAACATGCATTCATCATTTATACTGTACATTTTCACTTATTGTTTGTCACTGTGAGGAAGTTTTAAAAGAGCAGCTCATAAATAAGTGAAATAATTGGGCCATGAATTTATTTGCATAGAAAAATGTATTGTGAAATAAAATTGGCCTTCTATGACAACTACATATGCAAATTCATTATCAGTGCATAAATGTTAAGTAGATTTTATATTTATCAAAAAAAAAACCTTTACATATATAGAAAGGAGAGAGCAAGAGTAATCTCTTTCAGTTAATTGATTTATTAACTTCTTAATTTTGATTTTTGTGAATTAAGCTTATACCAGCTGGATAGCAATATCGAAATTTATGATAATGAAAAGAGGACAATCCTAATCATTATCTTACTTTCAACAAGATAATGTAGTCATCAGTATTATGTCATAAAGGGATTTGTTAGGATTTCCATATTGCTTTGTAAGTCATAGCAATAGCTGATGTTGTCTCCAGAGAAATGTGGTATAAAATCTTTAAGAGTGATTTGGATAGATCAGAGTGAGAGAAGTAATAAGCAGGAATTGCCAAATCAGACCACCATGTGAGAGGATTACGCTCCATAGCCTCATACAAATTCATAAGAGCACACACCTGCAATCAGTTATGGTATTGAAGAAGCACCAGCTGTGAAAAGCTAAGGCTGCTGCGATCCTAATTGGGATCATTGTCTCCATTTTGGCTCTAGGGGCTGACGCTTTATCCAGTTAAGGCCCTTGATACGTCCAAGGAAAGCATGGATGGTTTATATTAGTTTTCCTCAACTTAAGGCTTGTCTGTATAAGCTGTAGAACTCCTAAGACAGTTAGGATGGCAGCAATCTCTACATGAATACTAAGAGGATTTTCTTTTCCACAGTCGCATCGAACACTTAAAATCTCAGAATGATTTATTGACAATAACTCTGGAAGAGTGTAAGAGCAATGCTGAAAGGATGAGCATGTTGGTTGGAAAATATGAATCCAATGCCACAGCCCTCCGCTTGGCATTGCAATACAGGTATAACAATGGAGAATATATGACAAAAAATTATAATAAATGAACTGATACATGTTCTTACATTGTTTGAGTTACAGGTAGTACTTGATTTATGATCACAATTGAGCCCAAAATTTCCATAGCTAAGGAAGGTAGCTGTTAAGTAAGTTTTGCTCCATTTTACGACCTTTTTGCCACAGTTGTTAAGCAAATCATTGCAGTTGTTAAGTGAATCATGTGATTAAGCGAATCTGGCTTCCCCCATTGACTAGGTTGTCGGAAGAGAATGGCTGGGAATATTACAAATAGTAACCACATGATGCTGGTACAGTGCAATCGTCATAAATACATGCTAGTTGCCAAGCATCTGAATTTTGATCATGTGATTATGAGGATGCTGCAATGGTCGTAACTATGAAAAGCAATGATAAGTACCCTTTTTCAGTGCTGATGTTACTTTGAACAACAACAAATGGTTGTAAGTTGGAGACTACTTGTACTATAAAAAGTTTAAGGACTGCGCCAAAGTATTGTGTTTTCTCTTTATTTTACTTAATTTCTTGCCTGCTGGCATTACTGTTAATATTTTCTTCTTAGCAAGTGAATTTACAGAGATAACCAGAAGTGGGTCATTTTGCATTTCAAGTCTACAGACTTATATGAGAGGCTTGGAAGGGAGCTGGGACAATTTCTAGTCGTAGCCCCGTCCCAGGGCAGGAATTTTCAGACCATTCCAGACAAATAGATGGCAACCTTTGTTTGAAAACTGTCAGTTCCAGTTCCAGAGGGCAAGTTGTTCCACTATTTAATGGCTCTCACAGTTGGGAATTAGTCTATTTCAAATTTGTATCTTTGGTTTGATGGATTGTCAGTTCATATGACAATATGGCTACTAAAGGAAAGTGATGTATATTTGTATTTAGTACTTCTTTAGTTCATGCTTATACCTTAAAACTCCAACTTATCTCCACATGAAGGCTTAACAAAGTATATAAATGTTATTTTTAAGAACAATTTAGTGAAACACATAAATGTTTTTCAAGCTGCTAATAAAAGCAATCTGTGTTTGTTATTATCCATGCTAAAAATCCAAAATATTTTTGGCACTGAAAATGTCTTCAGGGAAGTTCTTTATCAGCTATTGAGGCTGTTCCTTGTTCAAGCCAAAGAAAGACGTAATAAAAGAAATGCTTCAAAATATTCATAAATAAAAATATTTTTAAAAAACGCTTCAAGGAAAGAGTTTCTGCCCCTCTAATTCTTATTCATCCAATTCAACTGTCCCATATTTTGCCCTGGGATGCTTGATATCCTATAGGACATGTGGAGAGAAAAAGCACATGGCTTAGTTTAATCTAAACTATTTAGTTCTATACTAAAAGTAGATTTTTAGAACTGGTGTGAGGATGACTTCTAGGAAAAAAATAGTGTCTGGCTTAAACCTCTAATGAAACCTAGGAAAGTTGTTCTATAATTTCATAATATCCAGAGTTAAAGGCTTCTATTCTACAATCAAGAGTTTACTGTGAATTTTATTTATGCAGTTCTGCTTATGTTATTTATGTTCTCCTTCTCTTACTTATGTGAATTATTCAGGCTTTTATTTAGAAACATAGAGATCACCAATGACATCACCATACTTGCTATTTTCCCACTCAACAAAGTGAGGGTTTAAGTAGATTAATTTCCTGCATCAAGTACACATGCACTGATTCAGTCTTTTTCTCTCCTCAGTGAACAGTGCATTGAAGCCTATGAGCTGTTGCTAGCATTGGCTGAAAGTGAACAGTCTCTCATTCTTGGACAATTCAGAGCTGCAGGTGTTGGGTCTGTCGGTAAGTATTCATTGAATCACTTTTCCTCTAATAATCCAATTTGTACTTTATTTGCTATACATCATCCTTAAAGGGAATATTACCATAATGGATTATCTCATGGCTACCTGTGTACTTGTTACAACCACCAAGTACAGTTTTAACAAATGATTCAATTTGAAGCTAAATACAGAATGCAAGAAAAAGTGCTTTGAACAATAGCTCATCTTGATATAGGATTATAAAATGGAAATCATAAACAATCACATCAACAATTGACTGAGGAGGTTAATTATTTTATCTAGGTGCTTAGTAATTTAAAAATGCTATTTTTCATCCAATTTGTTTCTCAAAATTAGAAATCTACTGGAGTATTTCAGGCCATGGAAACAGCATATTTGAAGATTTAATTCATTACCTTGGCATCTCCACAATGAACAACATGTTATATGGAAGTTTTTAAAGATCAAATGATCATCTGATTTCAGTGTTACAAGACAAATAAATTTCTGTCCTTTGTTTTAGCATATTGGAATTAATTATTCACAGTCACTGTGGAGAGTTCCACTATGAATCTTTTCTTTTAAATTGAAAACAAGTTTCTTTAGAAAACAACATATTTATTTATTTTAAAATCTATTTAGAACAATAGCTTTAAGAAGCCAAAGTTAATTGTATTCTTATTTCTTATAAAATGCAAAATAATTTTGACAAAACTACTCAAAAGAAATAAAAAGTATAGCTTTTGTGATTTACATAATAAAAACTATACAAATTATAACATGTCCAAGTAGAAAACATTATTCCTGACTCATAGAAAATCAGGACTGAACAAAAGTAATCTGCTTCTAATCAAGGAGAAAACCAATCTACAACTAAGGAGAAATTTCCTGACAGTTAGAACAATTACTCAGTTGAAGTTTTAAAGTTGCCAAGTTTGGAGATGCCCTGATCTAGAGCCATATGGGATGATAAAGCAGGGGATTAGGGCTCTCCATACTTCCAAAAGCACTTGTTGGAATTCATTGTCAGTATGGGGTCTGTAAAAGCTGTTTCAAAACCTTTCATATTTCTTTCCTGTAACCCCTTCTGAGTGGATTTGAAAGTATGCTTCAGTCTTGTTGAAATATCCAAACATTCAGCTTCAGGTTTTTCATATTCATCTTTGTATCATGTAATGCATAGGTTACATAAAATGTGCATTTCATATGAAATATCAACCGTGTCTGTCACTATTTCTCCAATTAAATCCATATACATATATATATTATTTTAAATTGTACAGTGACATCCTTTTAGAACATAGTATAAACTTTTTAATATATAGAATAAAAACAATAAAATGCTTAACCAAAACAGCATAATATGAAATAATAATGATGATTGGAAGCTATGAAACCATTTGTACTTTGGGTAGTACAAAAAAATTAGGAGAGTCTGGATAGAGGTAGGGAGTCTTTCTGGCTGTGATTCAGTTCTTATAGAATCCCATTCAATTCATGATACAGCTTTAGTTTTTCTTCAGCTCTCATTGTTCCTACAAAGATGTTACATGAGGAGCAAGAACAGAGGATGAAAGACTCACTCTGTGTAGACTGTGTGTGGAGAGTTCATCTTTTGTACCTCTGCCAATTTCACTTTCTAAGCCCAATTATTTTTGAAGTCCATTACATGTTAACGTCCTCATTGGAACATAGAAGTTTGTTTAAAAGCACATCGACTCACATTAATGCTTCTGAACTGCTCCAATATTATGTTGTTCTGATCATTTGCTTGTGAACAGGGGATCAAACAGGGGATGAAAGCATCACCCAGATGCTTAAAAGAGCCCATGACTGTAGGAAAACAGCTGAGAACGCAGCCAAAGCCCTGTTGATGAAATTGGACGGAAGCTGTGGGGGAGCCTACGCAGTTACTGGCTGTAGCGTACAGCCCTGGGAGAGTCTTTCTTCCAACAGTCATACCAGGTAATTAAGGCACATTAGCATGGTTAATCTCCAATCATTTGATTTTCTGAATGAATTAGAGGTTGTTTTGGAGGGTTTTTTGCATTAGCTAGCCATCCTCCTGCAACCTGTTCAATAATATTGCTGTTCCTAATAAATTATTACAGGGTGATCTGTTACTGGATTCTCTTTCAATTTTTAGTAGGCTGTTTTAAATATATATTTGTGGAGATTTGTTGTATTTGAAATTAATCTATTTCATAAACATCATTTATTTTGATAATTTCTCTGCTACTTCTTTATTTTTCAATGTCTTCCCACTGAAACTTAAAGTATATATTACTAGTTCTTCGCAGAACTTCAATGAGTAAGAATCTGATTTCTTCAAGTTCCTTGTTAGCTACATAAATGAAGTCATTTGATGTAATTCCATTTGATGTTAAAAATGTAATGCAATATGTGGGGTCAGTTTGACATTTAGAATTGAATATACAAATATAACTTATTTGCTAATCCTCTGCACCTAGAGAACATTTTATTACAATGTGGATTGGTGAGTTTGGATATGTAAGAGGATTTAATCATCATTTTATTTAGCTATTACATCTACGCACCTTCCTTGGAAATGCTTTGGCAACTTCCATAGGTTCTTCTGGATGATTTCTTGCTAAAATACAGTACAATTATAGGGATTGAACTTTGCAACCACAGAACTGTATAAAAGATTGAAGCTCATAGATTCTTTGTGACAAACAGTGTACAGTGATACTCCAAATGTTCGCTATAATTCGTTTGCAAACTCTATGAAGGAAATGGAAGAGCCGTTCTCCTTGGAAAAGACTTTTCATGTCAATGTGAATAATTTCTTCTGCTGTTTGAGACCCCTTAAAACGGGATTTGTAATTGAAGTGTTGACCTGGGCTTAACTTTGGCATCAAAAATGAGCTGCTGAATGTCAGATTGCCTAGCACATTACTGGGAACAAATGCTCAGGCAACCACTGGGGACAAGGAGGTTAAAGGCGATAAAAGGGAGCATTTGCAATAAAATGGGAAAAAGCAGCACACAGGCTGCTCTTACTGGCAGTAAATAAAATTAATAGCTAGAATTTCAATTTGCAGCCTCCCAGTCAGACTGCCTATTCCTTTGTGAAAAGAGAAATACATCTCTGGTGGATGATAATAATAATCGTTTTAAAAAGAAAAGCTTAGCATCAAAGCATGTTTCTAAGACGCACAATTGATTGAACTTGGAGGAAAAATAAGACACCAGAGGGAAAGGGTTAGGGTTACTTGATATGTAAACACAATAATATCAGAACATTGAAGTCTATTTGTAGCATAAACTTGCTGGGACTAGAGGTTATTTTGTCAGATAAATATGGATTCTAATCCGTATTATCTCTCATTCATGTTGTATTTAATCTGTTTGAGATATTTCTTCCTAGAGATTATTAAAACCATCCCTTGGATATTGCTAGATATATAATATTAGAATACTAATTACAACCTAATCCTTCTGTTGAAAAGGAATTAATTTATCTCATTTCTTTCATAGGAACCCAGTCTTCTGCATTCCAGGCCCTGAACTCTTCAGGCCTGAGATATATTTAATTTAATTTATTGGAAGAGTGGTCTTCTAATACTTTTGTGCCGCTCATGTAATTCAAGTTGATTATTAACTTCAACATCTTGTGGAGGACATGTCATTCTTTCTCAATCAAACAATCTTACACTCTTGTTGTGTAAATAAAGTGAAGAAAAATCCCCATTTAAACACCTTGAACTGCTGCAGAAAAGGTGGAATAAAAAGCTAGAAAGTGAATATGTACATTGTTTATAAATACCATTGATACATGAGATGGCATTTAGGTAATGTAGAACAGTGTTTTTCAACCACTGTGCCGAGGCACACTAGTGTGCCGTGACATAGTGTAAGGTGTGCCGTGGGAAAAACACCCGCCTATAGTCAATATAGGCACAGAGTTCATTTTTTTTAACATTTTCTAATGGTGGTGTGCCTCGTGATTTTTTTCATGAAAAAAGTGTGCCTTTGCACAAAAAAGGTTGAAAAACACTAATGTAGAAGAATCTAAAAGAGCCATCAGCAAAATGACTCTTGAAACTTTCTGCAATTCCAAATTCATTTTGATACAGCGTTACCACTGTATATTGGTGTACTCAAATAGTTAGATATCCTAAAAGATACTCTCATAGTACATGACTATTCACAAAAATTGTAATGATTTTCTTCTAACCCATACTTATCTACAACCATCTGCTCTCTCATGAAGTTTAAGGACAGAATGTTGTCACTTCCAAACTTCATATTTACTAGTCTCTCCTATTTGATCAACATTAGACTAGAAATGTAGCAAAGCTTATTAATTTAAGGAACATTATTCATATCCCAAGCATATTTATGCTCTAGAATATGGAAAGAGTCATATGATCAAATATTACTTCATGGTGTTCTTTGCAACTGTAGCCAGTGGGGTTTTTTTTACATTTGTTTTACAAATATGGATCCGTTCAGCCTCTTATGTCTTATTAAATTTATTTTTAAATTTAGAGTTGTCTCCATTACATCTCTCCCATAAAAGCATGCCTTAAGAAGTATGGAAATAAGCATAAGGTATAATTGGTTAATAGACTAATCCAAATTTAAAATGTGGGTTTGAGTCGATTAAAGCCATATTTAGAATTTATATTTATAAAACATGTTGAAAACATCTGTTGTAAATATACTTTCTTCTTCATTATTTGATTCAGTTAAGGAATCTATGGAGTTCAGAGTAGAATAAAAATCTGAATCTATCCTTTGCTGATGGTTAGGATACAAATGCAACCTTGTATTGATTTTTAAAGCCTGAACAGAAATTGTTTAGCTCTGATATATGCACTATGATATATTAGATTAAAAGCATGATGATATATTTAGAAGCTTGCTATATTTGTGACTATTTAAGAGATGGAAAACACTTGCAGTGTAGGCTACTCTTAGACAATTTCAAGCTACATTTATTGCATTAACCTAATTGGCTTGAATTAGAGCAGCCTATAGGTGTTCTACAGATAAAATCTGTAAACTTTATCACTTGAAGGAAAGCAGTTGAATTGCAGTGACTAGAACAGAGACAATATAGGCAGATTAAGTGTCATTAATAGGAAATACTTAAAGTGGCACAATCCAAAATCATTGAAGTTATTGGACAGTAATTGCCCGACTTTAAAAAAACATCACATTAAAAGCTCTGATCTGTAGTCTATTCTGGAAAGAAACAAACGTAGGAGCACTCTGGTGTACTTAACCCCATAAGAAGGCAGTCACATTCTTCTAGTATGAAATACAGTTAGTAATATTACAATATTTTCTATACTGTATATATGGATAAAAAATGCAAGGAATAGGAAAACACCACAAGGGCTCTTGCATAGGCACTGCTGTTTTCTGCTGCGGAGAAGCTGAAATTAATATCTCAGCAGAAAATGATTGAATCAAGTTCCTACCATCCCCAGTTCTGCTGCTGGGATTAAAACTCAATTACAAGATTGTTAAACTCGTATATTTAAACACAGATATGAGAATATAAAACCAGAATACAGAACATTATGAGAGAAATATCCAGGCTGCATATGTAATAGGCATGTATGCATGGCCTAAAGCCTAAATTGGTTTGATTGATCAAATTAATGCCCCATCCATCACATTGCATAAGTGATTCTGAGTGCTGAATAAGTTAAAACACCATTAAAATCCTTATGGAAATATGCAAGTTTTAAGAAGTTGCTCAAATTTTTAATCCAAATTGGTTATTTTTACAACCAATTTAGACTATATTTTTGTCTATCGATATTTGTGATACGTAGACACATAATACAATAGGTTTACTTTCCTAGTGATTCATTTAACTGAAATGTAAAAGTTCAGTTACGCTCATAAGTTTTCTACCACATCTGAGCTGCACAAGCATTACAAGATTATCTCAGAATTGATGATTATGTATCTTGTATATGCAAATTTATTGACTTTAAAAATGTGCTATAAATGGAATTTAATTACTAAGTATATGGTAATTGTTAGTGATTAATAGTTGGGTGCTTCTAAAGGAAGATTTCTAGCATTGCTAGTAATAGCTCATCTTCTGTAAGCTAAAAGCAGAATTCTCAGTGAATTCTTTATATATTAGGTGAATTCTTACTTTTGTGCATCATTTCTGCACAATGGTGATCTGCAACAGAAATGGATGAAGATCTATCCTCAGCAATTTTTTTCTGGAGAGCTGAAGGTGCATACCACACAATATAGATTATTATCAACAACAGAATTGTATCACAGCAGCCAGTTGTTTCACCGGATTTGGCATTGATTACTAGTCGGGCCCCANAACAAGGAAGGTTTTCTTTGAAAGAGAGAGATGCACGAGGAAACAGACCCTGCTTCCTGCATTTGGATTCTGTGGCACGCGCGCTCTAGGTGGGAGTTTAGGATCGCTGCCGTGCCACCCTGGATTTGCCAATGCGAGCCTCAGGTGGGTAGCCTTGAGAGAAACGGCGGCAGTGAACCTCCTGCCTTTGCTTTCTACCTCGTTGCGGAGAGGTAGAAAGCGAAGGCAGGAGGCTCACTGCTGCCGTTTCTCTCGAGCGTGGATTGCTCTCTGCGATTGCTCGTTCTTGGTTCGCGACCAGTGTCCCCCCCCCCCCCTTGTGGGCTTTTATGTGTTAATCGAGGCATGGATGCTGGGGAGGAAGGGAAGCCGGCTGCTTTCACACAATATGTTTATCTCAGAGGCTGAATTAATCACGTGGGTCAGAAAGACAGGGAATTTTCTTTCAACGAATTTCGGCCAATCACTCCCCCACCCACCCAAAGAGGCAAATTTAGCCCTCTTAAACTTCTGTGAAGGCAGCTGTGGGCAATATTCCCTCTAAATAGTTGTTCCAGGAAGCCCGAGCCACCTCAAGTCCTCAACCCAGTGACTTTGCTGCCCTGCTGCACCTCAAGACTCCTGTTTAGTTGGAGGGATTTTCAATCACAATTGTGCGGCCGCTCTGCAGACAGCACTCCCGTGTCCCACAAACGACACTGCACGGCAGTTGGAAACTGTTGTGCAGTGTTTACTTTCCATGTGCGCAGCCGCACAGCTTAGAGGGAACATTGCTTATCAGATACAGAATACTGCACTACAGAATACTGCATAACCGCTAGTTATGCAGATAATTCTGTTGATCTGACCTACTACGTTAATATTTTGCTGTCTCCCCCAACAGGAAGAAATGGCAGAGCTGAAAGCACAGCTGTACTTGCTAGAAAAAGAGAAGAAAGCTCTCGAGTTGAAGCTGAGCAGTCGAGAAGCTCAGGAACAAGCATATTTGGTCCACATTGAGCACCTAAAGTCAGAAGTAGAAGAGCAAAAAGAACAGAGAATGAGATCGCTTAGCTCAACTAGTAGCAATAGCAAAGACAAGTCAAGTAAGGTGAGTTACTGTCATATGGATAGTCCTTGACTTACAATCATTTGTTTAGTGACTGTTCAAAGTTACAACAGCACTGAAAAACGGGACTGATGACCGTTTTTCACACTTACAATCATTGCAGCAAACCCATGGTCACATGATCAGAATTTAGGCACTTGGCAACTGGCATGTTCTTATGGCAGTTGCACTGTACTGGGATCATGTGATCACCATTTGTAACCTTCCCAACTGGCTTCAAACAAGGAAAGTCAATGGGAAAGCCAGATTTGCTTTACAATCATATTTCACTTAATAACGCCAGTGATTTGATTAACAACTGTTGTATAAGAAAGGTCATAAAATGGGGCACAACTTATTTAATAATTATCTTGCTTACCAATGGAAATGTTGGGCTCAGTTGTGAATGTGAATCGAGGACTATATTTGGTTGGTGAGAGATAGGCTTATTCAAATTTGTTCCAAATCAATTATCAAATGCTTGAAGGGGGGAGAAATTTTGTCCTTGAAAAACTGTAGGTAATATTGCATCAATCATTTTGCTGCAATGGTTGCTAATTCATTATGGATAAATTTAAAGTTGTATCTTTGCTCTTTTAGTATGGGAAACTACCTATATCCATGTGCAGCTCTGTATATTTTTAAGATCAACATTGCAAGTTTGCTTACCAACGCACTTCCAAGGTGCATAAAACTGAGTACTAACAATAGGAGCTTTTCTCTGCTAGACTCTATTTTGTGATATTCCTTTCCTATAGTACTTGGAGGATTTTGTGCATGCTATCTTTAAGAGGATTTAAATCAATTTGTGTTGTCTTTTAAGTTTTAATGGCATTTGTGGATAGATATTTTGAAAGCTCTTACTATTTTATTACATTTTGCTGTTTTTATTTGGAAAGACTGTGTCCTTGAAAGAGGTTAAAATGGAGCCCAGTGACTGATACCCTGATGATAAAGATATGCTTTTATGATTACTATAAACTTTAAAATGTGCCTGGATTTATGTAAGGTAATCCTACCTTGTCCTGGTTTAATTTGCAGGAGTGCACAGATGGCACATCAGCATCATTAACACTAACTGAGCTCAGATCTTACAATGAAAGTGAGCTGACTACAGAATTGGCAAATGCCCTCAGACGGTAAGCGAGATGTGTTCTCCCCCCCCCTACCTTTTCCGAACAAAAAGGTGCTAATAAATCTGTGAGTTTATAGCGGCCTTTAAATTACTCAGATGTTCTCACTGTTCTGCAATTATGTCGTTTTTGAAGTATCCATTTTCTCATTTCATATTCTGAAATGCTCATCTGCATGTCCCTCAGGTTTTTACAGTATCTATAAACCAGCAGATTAATTATTGCTGTTAATTCTTACAACATACATGAAAACTCTAGAGGACAGAGTAGGTGACTATGCTAATCAAACATTATGAGAGAGACATGGCAAATTTAGAAATAGCATTCTAGAATTATCTCTGTTAGTTTAGATTCCCCATAAGAATAAACTGCCAAGTTTTATATTAACAGTAATACTGGAAATAACTAAATGAAAAAAGGGAATATCAGCAGTACTTCCTATCTCACAAATCTTGACAATTCTAAATTGCTTTCTAATTCTGGCCAGAGCGAAACAATTTAATTATGTTACTGTGCTGTGCTGTGCATTATAGCAGGCAATCCAGTCAACCATTTTATTACTCTTAAGAGCATAAAGGAACTACTTGCTAGCAGTTTGATGCTTTTAACTGTCATGCTGATAACTTTGATTGTTGCAGCTAGAAAGGTGAGAAAGTAGTTGCTGATATGCTCATACTAATATTGGTATGCCATGTAAATCCTGGACAGCTGCATTGTTACTACAGGTAGTCCTTGTTTAGCAGCTACCTTGTTCAAAGATTGTAGGGAAGAACTGGTCCAGATCCTGTCTGGGCATGCAATCTGGAGTGAGGATCTTAGAATGGAACAATCGGAAGCATTTCAAGCTGCCTCTCGCATAGAGATATTTAGGGGGGGGGGGGATTTCCCCTGGATTTTTTTCCCTGTAGGCTTCATATTTTAATTCAGTTTTTCTTTTGCTGACTTCTGCTATCACATCAAATTTGTTCCTACTCTGTTGATGAATGGTCTGAGCCCCTTCTAAACTTTCTGTATAACATTGGTTTAGGTTGAAAATGATAAAAGAAGCGGTAGGATTAGAAGAGATGTCAGCTGGAGTCACAATAGGCTGAGATGTTAAGATGTTAAGTATATAGCACCACTGTTAGCCTTATGGAAATAAAAATAGAAAGTAAAATTCTTGGGTTAATAAGGCAGACATAATATCAGTCAGCTTAATGACTCCCTAGTACCATGGTCTGCAAGAAGAACCAACCCTTTAGTCTTAGACCAAAACTGATTCTTCCTTGTTTTGCTTGTTTAGCAATGGAACCCCTATTATGAAAGATTTGTGATGGCAAACTCATGGCACGTGTGCCACAGGTGGCATGCGGAGCCCTCTGCAGGCATATGAGCCATTGCCCCAGCTCAGATCCATCACACATGTGCCTCCTGCTGACCAGCTGTTGTTTGGGTCTCTGCCATGCATGTGAGAGATGCACGTGCATGTGTAGGGAGTCACGCACACATGCACAGGGTGTGTGGTACGGGGGGGCGTGCCCTATTTTTGGTCCCAGAAAGATTCAGGGAAGCCTGCTAGGCTCAAAACCGGGCACAGGGGGTCATGCGTGGATGCACAGGGGGGCACACAAGACGGTATCACACGCACATTACATTACAGGAGTGGGCATGCACACGGGCATTTTTGGCAGGCGAGGACAAAAAGATTAGCCATCACTGTGATGGATGATAAATTTTCTTTAAAAAAAAATACTACAATGCTTGACAAGGTTATAGAAAGTAGAAGCCAACAGTTAAGATGGACGGAGAAGATCAAAGAGATTACTGGAATATTTTTGGAAGAGCTGAGTCAAGTCTAATTCAGTGGCACTTTCAAGAGTCCCCAGTCCATCGCAGTGTCTTTGGTATTTGCAATGGAGGGCCATGCACCTTGTTCAGGAATTAGGGAAGACTGTTAGAAATCTAAATCTTTTTGTGACCAAGACTTGCTTTCCTTGCAAGCAAAGAAAATATTATAGTAATAGCAATGTATATATTCTAATTTATCCTAATGTGGATATCCATTTTGTCAGAAGATGATACATGGGTGATCTAGTTCCTTTTTCTGATGTTGCTGCAGCGTGTTTGTGCTTATCTAAACAGTTCTTACACAAGGGATACGGTGTCTAAGATACTCAGCTTGTCAATCAGAAAGATTGGCAGTTCGGCGCTTTGAATCCCTAGCACTGTGTAACGGAATGAGCTCCCGTTCCCATTGTCCCAGCTTCTGCCAACCTAGCAATTCGAAAGCACATAAAAATGCAAGTAGNATTATTATTATTATTATTATTATTATTATTATTATTATTATTATTATTATTGATATACATGTATTATCCACCAAATTCCAGTGGACTCCAGTGGGGTTGAAGGCATCTTATTGGGCAGAGCTAGGATTTTCCATTTTTCCTAGGTGTTGATGATAGAGGCCTTTTTAAAATTATGTTAAATATAACTTCGGTTTTTCACTATAGTGTCTCAAAATGGGAAGAAACCATGCTATAAGTTTTTAGATGTTGTAGTTGGATAAGATAATAGGTTTTATGAAGACCTAAATATGAGATCCAAAGGAACACTTTTGAGCATAAACAATCTATTAAATTTTCAGAAAGTTTTATGGAAGGTGATATTAATTGGGCATGGGGCTTCTCTGTTCTTTCGATATCTCTCTCTCTCTCCCTCCCTCCCTCCCTCCCTCTCTCTAAATGAAAAGTTTCAGAGACTTTTGAGGAAAATCAGAGGCGTTCAAGCCTATATATTTTTAAAGAGAAAGTACAGTTGTAGGCAAAAATGTGGATATTCCTGATCAAATAGTATTTCAATTACTTCCTGAACCAGTTGTTATTCAATGGGGTTCAAACACTCTACTGAGAATTGAATACACATACCTTTGCATTTAGTTGATACTATTTCTATTTAAAGATGTTAAAAAGTATTGCCAGAAAGGTCTGAATTTCTGCATGCCATAATCATAGTTTTCTTGCTTTGAATCTGTAGACAATAGCATATAAACAGTGAACTTACAGAAAGTTGATGTTAACTTTGTACTGTAGTTACGTCAGCTTGTATTCGCCTCAAGATTGGTTGAAATTTATAGGAGCCTAAAATTCTGCATAAAACTGCATATTTATACCCAAAGGTGCTTTTCAAAAGGCACTGAAAAGACACTAAAGAACCTTGAAAAAGCTTCTTGGAGGAAGAGTGAAATGTCTTCATGGAAAAACAAAGAAAATCCAGTTGCCTTTTGAAAAACACCTTTGGGCGGTGGTGTATTAACCGTTAAGCAGACTGAGCACATGCTTAGGTGTTCTGACCCCCTCCTCCATCCAGTAACGAAAACCGAGACAAGTTTAACTAGAATGTACTTTTAATAGCAAGAAGCCAAA